AAAAAAAAAAAAAAAAAAAAAAAAGTACCACTTCTTGCTTACTCTGCTAGTAGGTTTGAAAACCTAAGTAAAAAGGATGCTAGCTGTTGAGATTCTAAGTAACCTAACTTAACCTACAGTCCAGGGAAGTACAAAAGTATACATGTATGTATAATAAAATACATATATACACACATATATAAAACAAGGTATCTTGTTAATACACCCTTCCCCTTTTTCCCCCCAATCATCCTCCTAAGAGAAATAACTGAATGCTTGCAATGTCCCACCTCCATCTCCTCTTCCTCTTCTGGCTCTGAGGGCTCATCACAAACCGCCAATTCAAGTCTCTTAATCTTGTCTTTATTTAAGGCTTCATCTGCACGTTGCATTGCTCTCAGTATTTCAGGTTTTGCACTGTAAAAATGGCCTCCCTTCTGGGCTTCCTTTGATTTTGAACCTAGAAAGAAATGTATTTATAAATAATAAGGGCTGGGTGCAGTGGCTCACGCCTGTAATCCCAGCAGTTCAAGACCAGCCTGGGTAACATAGCAAACCCCATCACTATCTATCTGTCTGTCTACACATACATATATATACATATATACATGCTAGGTGTGGTGGCTCATGCCTATAATCCCAGCACTTTGGGAGGCTGAGGTAGGTGGACCACTGGAGGTCAGGAGTTCAAGACCAGCCTGGGCAATGTGGTGAAACCCCCATCCCTACCAAAAAAATACAGAAATTAGTTGGGGGTGAGGGTGGTGTGCGCCCTGCAGTCCCAGCTACTTGGGAGGCTGAGGTGGGAGAATCACTTAAACCTGGGAGGCAGAGGTTGCAGTGAGCCAACATTGCACCAATGCACTCCAGTCTGGTTGATAGTGCAAGACCCTGTCTCAATGGAAAAAAACAAAATTTACATACACACACACACGCACACACACATTTGTTGGCTGGACACTTGACTCCACCTACAACATTTGCCCTAATGAACAAGAATGACAACAATTAAGTATAATTTGCGGGCCGGGCGCGGTGGCTCGTGCCTGTAATCCCAGCACTTTGGGAGGCCAAGGCGGGCAGATCACCTGAGGTCAGGAGTTTGAGACCAGCCTGGCCAACATGGTGAAGCCCCATCTCTACTAAAAATAAAAAATTAGCCGGGTATGGTGGCGTATGCCTGTAATCTCAGCTACTCGGGAGGCTGAGGCAGGAGAATCGCTTGAACTCGGGAGGCGGAGGTTGCAGTGAGCTGAGATCGTACCATTGCACTCCAGCCCAGGCAACAGAGCGAGACTTCCTCTCCAAAAAAAAGTGTAATTTGTAGTGTGCCATTACTTTTTATTGATATAGATATCAATAAAGCACACAAGGAATAAATATTCAGGGAAAAACTACTGGTGAAACTAAAATCACCAATTTTATCTCCTTGAAGTTGCCCTGTGTGGTCACCGAGGACTACTTAGTTTCTCTTATAATGACCTGGGTCTACAGCCTTAAACAGGTGGGCATACCTCTTCAAGTGAGACAGAAAATTTAAAAGGGGTTTGAGACCATTTCTTAAGAATGTACTGGCCAGGTACAGTGGCTCATGCCTATAATCTCAGCATTTTGGGAGGCCAAGGCAGGTGGATCATGAGGTCAGGAGTTCAAGACCAGCTAACCAATATGGTGAAACCCCATCTCTGCTAAAAATGCAAAAATTAGCCGGGCATGGTGGTGTGCACCTGTAGTCCCAGGTACTTGGGAGCCTGAGGCAGGAGAATCGCTTGAACCCAAAGGGGGCTGAGATTGCAGTAAGCACAGATCGCACCATGGCACTCAGCCTGGGTGACAGAGTGAGACTCCGTCTCGGGGGCGGGGGGACAACCCCAAACTTCAGGAAGACAAAGACTATACTGTCAGTTAAATGCAGCTATGAGTTTGTCTCAAAACTAGATCAGATATGTCTAAATGGATAAAAGAATAACCAACCAATGTGCTACTGTAAGGGCCTTTACATTTTGAAAGGGTAGCTTAGTTCAGACTCAATGTGTTAAAATTTATTTTCTCAAAACTGTTCCATCAAAATGAAACATTAGGGTTGGGTGTGGTGACTCACACCTGTAATCCCAGCACTTTGGGAGTCCTAGGCAGGTGAATAATTTCGGGTCAGGAGTTCAAGACCAGTCTGGCCAACACGGTGACATCCGTCTCTACTAAAAATATAAATATTAGGCCAGGTGCAGTGGCTCACACCTGTAATCCCAGCACTTTGGGAGGCTGAGGCGGGCAGATCACCTGAGACCAGCCTGACCAACATGGAGAAACCCGTGTCTGCTAAAAACACAAAATTAGTTGGGCATGGTGGTACACCCAGCTACTTGGGCATGGTGGGTGAGGCTGAGGCAGGAGAATGGCTTGAATCTGGGAGGCAGAGGTTGAAGTGAGCCGAGATCACGCCATTGCACTCCAGCCTGGGCAGTAAGAGTGAAACTCCATCTCGAAAAAATAATAACACAAAAATTAGCCAGGTGTGGTGGTGTACACTTGGGAGTCCCAGCTACTAGGCAGACTGAGGCGGGAGGATCACCTGAACCCAGGAGACAGAGGTTGCAGTGAGCCAAGATGGCACCACTGCACTCCAGCCTGGGTGACAAAGTGAGACTTCATCTCAAAGCCACTGCACTCCAGCCTGAGCAACAAAGTAAGACTCCATCTCAAAAAACACAAAAGGAAATTTTAAGCTGCTCTGCTTTAAAGAAAAACCCTTCCTTAGTAATTTCATTATAATATTAAATGACACTTCTAACCACTGAGCAAAGGTTAGGTGCAGAAGATCCCGTCTAATGGTTTATAATTAGTTATTCTTTGAAGTATAACGAGAGATGTCTCTATTCTGCCCAAATTTAATAACTGGAAAAGAAACAAGTTTGTGTAAATTTAACAGATCAAAACATTACATATTTCCTTCTTTCTATACATTAAAACTACCAGGACAGCCTAAATTTCCATGGAATTGGCAACTTTTATGTGCTGCCTAAGATTAGGACCAATTTCTCATTTCTCTGAAGGGTTGCACCAAAGCTACAGACTGCACCAAGCAAAATCAACTGGAGGGCGGGTGAGTGAACTTTTCCCAAAGTGCCTATTGCAGCTGCAGTCTGCCTCAACACATTATCTAGTGATATTTCGAAGAATTCTTGATCAAGTCTCTACAAATCTAAAAAATCTCAATAAAAAAAGGCCTACTTTTTTCACCATGCCTCTCTGTCGATTTATTAACATACATGTATTGCGACAATTGGGAATTCTAAGGGACAAAGAGCAGTATTCACAGCGATATTTTTATAAGATAATGACAATATAAACGAAAACATTTTATTGATCTCTTTTTAAAAGTCATTCTGGGCCGGGCACGGAGGCTCATGCCTGTACTCCAAGCACTTTGGAGGCCAAGGTGGGCGGATCACCTGACGTTGGGAGTTGAAGACCAACCTGACCAACATGGCGAAACCCCGTCTTTAAAAAAATAAAAATAAAAAAGAAATAAAAAAAGAAATTCAAGTGGCTCACGCCCGTAATCCTAGAACTTTGGGAGGCCAAATTGGGCAGATCACTTAAAGACCAGGAATTCAAGACCAGCTTGACCAATATGGTGAAACCCCATCTCTATTAAAAAGTACAAAAATTAGCTGAATGAGCATGGTGGCAGGCACCTGTAATCCCAGCTACTACTTGGAAGGCAGAGGCAGGAGAATCACCTGAACCCAAGAGGCGGAGATTGCGGTGAGCTGAGATTGTGCCACTGCCCTCCAGGCTGGGTGATAAACCGGGACTCCATCACACACACAAAGTCATTCTGCCAAAGATTTTTTTTAAATCTCAAAATTGTTCCCGGAAGAGACCTCATCTATCAACAGGTTCGATGAGAGCTCATTTTTATTTATTATTTTGTTTTTGTTTTTTGAGACTGAGTCTCGCTCTGTCACCCAGGCTGAAGTGCAGTGGCACGATCTCAGCTCACTGCAACCTCTGCCTACCGGGTTCAAGCAGTTCTCTGCCTCAGTTTCCCAAGTAGTAGTATTACAGGCGCCCACCACCATGCCCAACTAATTTTAGTATTTTTAGTAGAGATGGGGTTTCACCATCTTGGCCAGGCTGGTCCTTAACTTCTGACCTCATGATGCACCCACCTCAGCCTTGTAAAGTGCTGGGATTACAGGCACCCCACCTGGCTTTTTTTTTTTTGAGAGTCTCGCTCTATTACCCAGGTTGAAGTGCAGTGGTGCCATCTCGCCTCACTGCAACCTCCACCTCCTGGGTTCAAGCGATTCTTCTGCCCCAGCTTCCCAAGTAGCTGCATTACAGGCATGTGCCCCCAAGCCCAGCTAATTTTTGTATTTTTTTGTAGAGACAGGGTTTCACCATGTTGGTCAGGCAAGTCTCGAACTCCCAACCTCAGGTGATCTGCTTGCCTTGGCCTTCTAAAGTGCTGGGATTACAGGCGTGAGCCACCACATCCGGCCCCAAAGCAACCCAAATGAGATGATTTTATTTTATTTTATTTTATTTATTTTTTTTTGGAGACAGAGTTTCACTCTTGTTACCCAGGCTGGAGTGCAATGGTGCGATCTCGGCTCACTGCAACCTCCGCCTTCTGGGTTCAAGCAATTCTCCTGCCTCAGCCTCCTGAGTAGCTGGGATTACAGGCACGCACCACCATGCCCAGCTAATGTTTTGTATTTTTAGTAGAGACAGGGTTTCCCCATGTTGACCAGGATGGTCTCGATCTCTTGACCTCGTGATCCACCCGCCTCGGCCTCCCAAAGTGCTGGGATTACAAGCGTGAGCCACCGCGCCCGGCCTGAGATGATTTTAAATATAAGTAAACAGTATCAGAAAATAAGTTACTTTAGCCAGATGGCCCAACTATTTGGGAGTCTGATCAGGAGGATCACTGGAGGCCAAAAATTCAAGACCACTCTGGGCAATATAGCAAGATCCTCATCTCTAAAAAAAAACTGTTTAAAAATTAGCCAGGTGTGGCTGGGCACAGTGGCTCATGCCTGTAATCCCAGCACTTTGGGAGGCCGAGGCGGGTGGATCACAAGATGAGGAGTTCAAGACCAGCCTGGCCAATGTGGCGAAACCGCATCTCCACTAAAAATACAAAAAAATTAGCTGGGCATGGTGGCTGGCGCCCGTAATCCCACCTACTCGGGAGACGGAGGCAGGAGAATCACTTGAACACCGGAGGCGGAGGTTGCAGTGAGCGGAGATCATGCCACTACTGCACTCCAGCCTGGGCAAAAAGAATGAAACTCCACCTCAAAAATAAAAAATAAAAAATTAGCTGGGCGGCCAGGTGCAGTGGCTCATGCCTGTAATCCCAGCACTTTGGGAGGCAGAGGTGGGTGGATTACTGGAGGTCAGCCTGGCCAACATGGTGAAATCCTGTATCTACTAAAAACACAAAAATAGCTGGGCATGGTGGCATGCACCTGTAATCCCAGCTCCTCAAGAGGCTGAGGCAGGAGAATCCCTTGAATCCAGGAGGCGGAGGTTGCAGTGAGCTGAGATCACGCTACTACACTCCAGCCTGGGAAAAAGGAGCAAAACTCCGTCTCCGTTTAAAAAAAAAAAAGCCGGGTGACATGTCATGTGCCTGTAATCCCAGAGACTGGGGAGGCTGAGATAAGAGAACTGCATTAAAAAAATAAATTTAAAAAGCCGGGCGTGGTGGCTCAGGCCTGTAATCCAAGCACTTTGGAGGCCAAGGTGGGCAGATCACCTGAGGTTGGGAGCTCAAGACCAGCCTGACCAACATGGTGAAACCTCCCCTTTTTAAAAAAAATAAATAAATAAATAAAAAATAAAAAAAAAAGAGAGAGAATTGCTTGAACCCAGGAGGCGGACGTTGCAGTGAGCCGAGATCACGCCCCTGCACTCCAGCCTGGGCAACAGAGGAAGACTGTGTCGAAAGAAAAGAAAAGAAAGGGAAAGGAAAAGAAAGGAAAGAAAGAAAAGAAAGAAAACTTGTACAAGAGACACCTTGCCCAAGTGAGGCTAAACATGCAGGACTGTTGATGTCTGTGATAAATGAGACTGGACCTGGGAAGAAAAAGTTATGGTTCAGAAGCTTGGTGTGAAATTCAACTCAGATGTGCTGATGAGTGAGTAGTTTGGAGGCCAGGCAGTGTACCTCTCCATCTTTCCTAGATAATGTCACTGAGCTATAAGCTATGTATCCTGATGATATTAACTTTTTCTTGGACCCTTCAAGATGGGGAGACAGTTTAATTTACCCTTATTATATTAAGGGTATAATATTGCTGTAAGTCACTCAAAGGACAGAAATAAAAATTCCATTCTACAAAACAAACCGGCTAAAGACCAGCTACATGTTTCATTCGTTTCCCAAGCCAGAAGCTTTCACAACTGCCACCCTTGGAATTTGCTGGGGTAAAATAGGCTTAATTTAATTTCACCATATGGGCCAGGTGCAGTGGCTCAAGCCTGTAATCCCAGGACTTGGAGAGGCTGAGGCGGTCGGATCATGAGGTCAGGAGTTCGAGACCAGCCCGACTAACATGGTGAAACCCCCATCTCTACTGAAAATACAAAAGTTAGCTGGGCATGGTGGTGCATGCCTGCAATCCCAGCTACTCAGGAGGCTAAGGCAGAAGAATCGCTTGAACCCAGGAGGCGAAAGTTGTGTTGAGTCGAGATTACGCCACTGCACTCCAGCCTGGGCTACAGAGCAAGACTCCGTCTCCCAAAAAAAAAAAAAAAAAAAATATTTTTCACCGTATGGGAAGTCTCACACCCCCACACCCACACCCCCACACCCACACACACCCCCCCCACACACACACAGAGCAGTAGTGACTCTTACCTGTATATGGCTTTAAGAGCCTTTTGCTAACCCAGCCCCTTGTTGGGCTGTCATCAAAAAACTGTACATGAACACGAACTGATTTCCCTTTCTCGCGGATGAATGTTCCATCAAAGGGGTGGTTGTAAACCAGACAAGGCCACCAGGGGTAACCCTCCATCTTGGCCCAAACCAAATCTCCTGGTGAGAAGTCACAACTGTTGCCAAAAGGAAATACATAACTTAGTTAATATTTAGTCAAGTTTCCTTAAAGGCAGTTACCTACAAACAAACAATTCCAAGAAAAGTATCATTAAGACTCCTTTGAAGTCTTCTGGCATTAATATTAAAGCATAGAAATTCTAGAATATAGTCAGATATTCAAGCCATTTTAAAAAAGCAAGCAAAATGATATCATAATGCATAATTAACTATGAAAACAAACACACATATAGTAAGTTATGTTATTAGGGTGAGAAACTTTCTCAGAATCAAAGTTTAAAAACCATGCAGAATTTTGGCATAACGATCACAGGAAAAAGGCATGGAATCACGGTATATGCGCTTCAAATTAGTTAGTGTCACCTACACAATATGGTATGTACATATCAGAAACAGGATCTAACTCACAATATAAAGCATATTGATTATATAATTTACTAATTAGGTAAATTATCTAATTCATTAGACTTGCTTGAAATCTTTTCCCAGCTATACTCCTGTGTATTTCAAAAGCTACCTAGCACTCCTGCTACAAACTAGTTTTACGGGAAAAACTCAAGTCAACAATTGAGTGCCTAATGAGCCAGAGGACATATTGCTACAAAATCAAAAACAGATTTAGCCCTGTGAGTTTTCAGGAACAAGGAGGAGGAATCTAAGAAAATACAGAAGAGGGGGCCGGGCGCGGTGGCTCAAGCCTGTAATCCCAGCACTTTGGGAGGCCAAGGCAGGTGGATCACGAGGTCAAGAGATCGAGACCATCCTGGTCAACATGGTGAAACCCCGTCTCTACTAAAACTACAAAAAAATTAGCTGGGCATGGTGACGCGTGCCTGTAATCCCAGCTACTCAGGAGGCTGAGGCAGGAGAGTTGCCTGAACCCAGGAGGCGGAGGTTACGGTGAGCCGAGATCGCGCCATTACACTCCAGCCTGGGTAACAAGAGCGAAACTCCGTCTCAAAAAAAAAGAAAATACAGAAGAGCTGCAGAAGAGTGAAACAGAATACAGAATGCAGAAGAGTAATAGAGAGGCCACAAACTGCTGATAATCCCTAAGTATTAGATACCTAGGCCTGCTTAAAGGTTTCACTGAATAACTTCAAAACTAAAATAGGCACATAAGAAGAACATTTAGACACTTTTGAATAACAATTAGCCCACTGAAACCACATGATTTAGACCAAATCATGAAATATAAAGTATCCCTTCCTTCAAAAAAAAATATAAATATAGGCCAGGTGCAATGGCTCACGAACGTAATGTAAGCAATTTAAGAAGCCAAAGAGGGAGCTCACTTGAGATCCGGAATTCAAGGCCAGCCTAAGCAATATAGTAAGGCGCCGTCTCTACTTAAAATTTTTAAAAATTAGCTGGTTTGGGTGGCATGCACCCCTGTAGTCCCAGCTACTTTAGAGGCCGAGGAGGGAGGATCACTTGAGCCCACAAGTTTGAGACCAGTATGGGCAACACAGTGAGACCCCAACTCTACCAAAAAAAAAATCCAAAAATAAAAAAGAAAGAAAGAAAAAGTCTGGAGGCAGTGACTCATGCCTGTAATCCCAGCATTTTGGGAGGCCGAGGTGGTCCAATAACTTGAGATCAGGGGTTTGAGACCAACCTGGCCAACATGGTGAAGTCCCATCTCTACTAAAAATACAAAAATTAGCTGGGAATGGTGGCACACGCCTATAATTCCAGCTACTTGGGAGGCTAAGGCAGGAGAATCACTTGAACCCATGAGGCACAGGTTGCAGTGAACTGAGATCACGCCACTGCACTCCAGCCTGGGTGACAGAGCAAGATTCCATCTCAAAAAAAGAAAAAAGCAGTATATAAAATGCAAAGACTCAAAATTTCCTGAATGCTAAAAAGCTTGAAGAAAAAGAGCACTACTAAATATCCTGAGCCCAGGAAACAGTGGTTTCTGAGCCAAAAAGATAAAACAGGTAGTAAAATGCATTGTGTAACAAAACTAAAAATTTTAAACATTTCTCTACATTTTTATTCACTCAGTGCTAACAAAGAAAATCCTTTAAAAAATTTTTTTGTGTGTAAACTTGAATTCTTTAAAGGTAATTTAAAAATTTTATCTATGGTAATCCTGCAGTTTTCAAGAATCCCAAAATAGGCCAGGTATGGTGGCTCACACCTATGATCCTAACACTTTGGGAGATCTCTTGAGAGCCCAGGAATTCCAGTCTGGGCTACACAGTAAGACCCTGTCTCTACAAAAAATTTAAAAATTAGCCAGGCATGGTGGTGTGCAGCTGTGGTCCCAGCTACTCAGGAAGCTGAGATGGGAGGATCGCTGAGATCTGCCAATGTACTTCAGCCTGGGCAACAGAGTAAAACACTGCCCACCACTGCTCCTGACCTCCAAAAACACCTTAAATTATGATGTTATGATTCTGCAAGTGCTTTTAAAGCTTTAAGTGATGTCTTAATGCCTGGTATTCTTGGGGTTTTTTAAGACAGTTGAGAAAACCATTAAGAGGAAAAGGTGACAGCTCACAAAATAAATGTAAAAACTGATATAATAAAGCAATGACTTTGTCTAAATATACACTAAACAGAACTTTTTTTTTTTTGAGACAGGGTCTCGCTCTGTCACCACGCTGGAGTGCAAACGGCACCATCTCAGCTCACTGCAACCTCCACCTCCCGGGTTCAAGCGATTCTCCTGCCTCGGCCTCCTGAGTAGCTGGGATTACAGGGGCCCACCACCATACCCAACAAGTTTTTGTATTTTTAGTAGACCGGGTTTCACCCTATTGGCCAGGATGGTCTCAATCTCTTGACCTCATGATCTGCCTGCCTCAACCTCCCAAAGTGCTGAGATTACAGGCGTGAGCCACCATGCCTGGCCACTAAACAGATCTTTTAAATTTTGCTTTAAAATCATATTTTTGCTTTCTCTGTAGTCTACAATTTGGTGTGAATTACTAGTTGTCCCTAAAACATATAATCAACATTTTCACCAACTTTTAAAACTATTTTTGGGAGAACAGCATCTCACTCTGCTATCCAGGCTGGAATGCAATGGCATGATCGAGGCTCACTACAGCCTCAACCTCCTGAACTCAAACAGTCCTTCCATCTCAGTCTCCCAAGGAGCTGGGACTACAGGCATATGCCACCATGCCTGGCTAATTTTCATATTTTTTTGGAGAGACAGGCTCTATCCATGTTGGACTGCCTCAGCCCCCGCTAAGTGCTAGGATTACAGGCGTGAACCACTGCACCCAGCCTCCCTGTTGATTTCTTAAATAAAACCGATAGAAACATTAACCATAGAGAAAATAAAAGGACAATTCCATATTACAATCAATAATTTATTCATCAAAAGATGCCATAAGGCTGGGTGTGGTGGCTCACACCTGTAATCCCAACAGGTTGAGAGGCTGAAGTGGGAGAACACTTGAGACCAGGAGTTCAAGTCCAGCCTGGGCAAGCAACATAGTGAGACCTCTATTACTCAACAACAGCAGTAACAACAATGCCATAAGCTAAATCAAAGAACTCATTGTGGAAGACATTTACATCACACACAATTGACAAAGAACTGGGGAAAAAAAGAAACAGCAAAAGACAAACACTTCACCACAAAAGGAAATCTAAATGACGAACATTAAAATGGTGGCTCAAGCCTGTAATCCAGCACTTTGGGAGGCTGAGGTGTGTGAATCATCTGAGGTCAGGAGTTCACGACCAGCCTGGCCAACATGGTGAAACCCTGTCTCTACCATAAATACAAAAAGTAGTCGGGCATGGTGGCAGGCACCTGTAATCCCAGCTACTTGACAGAAGAATTGCTTTAACTTGGGAGGCAGAGGTTGCAGTGAGCCGAGACTGCACTCCAGCCCCGCGCAACAAGAGGGAAACTCCCTCTTAAAAAAAAAAAAAAAAAAAAAGACATTCAACATGTTTTAAGGCTTTAATGATTCATTGAGTAATCCAAATGTCTCTGTAGCTCATCAGACTGTTCGTGATTGGATCTCTCCAATGCTCCCTCCTCCTCATTCAGCCTACCCACAATTTGCAGATCTTCCTCTTTCTGAACCAGCTTCCCATTCTAACTATAACCTGTCTAACCCTATTTGTCCTTCTGGTTTCGGTTGACAGAGCTGAGACCCTAGCCTGACCCACATCCTCTCCGTCCCCTTTCCATTTGGGAGTCCAGAATTGCCTCTTTGCTTTGTCCTGTTCATGGTGGTATCCAGGATCGATAATGCCTAATGCTGTGCTCAACAAAGTGATCTAGACACTGAGATTTCTTTAGAAACCTGGTATCAAATACTCATCTTTCTTGAATACCCTGGAATCTTCTCCATAATGAGAGGTGAAGTGTATACAATGTTTTATTTTTACAAGTCTCAAGAAACAACATATGCTATTCAACATGAATGTAAAGTACATCCTTACAATAAATACACCCCTTTGGTTTGGAGTCAACAATTCATGCTCGAGTAAACATAAAGTGTCATGCTTTTTTTTTTTTTTTTTTTTTTTTTGAGATGGAGTCTCACTCTGTCGCCAGTCTGGAGTGCAGTTGCGCGATCTCAGCCTACTGCAACCTCCCGCCTCCCGTGTTCAAGTGATTCTCCTGGCCTCAGCCTCCCAAGTAGCTGGGACTACAGGCGTGTGCCACCACGCCCAGCTAATTTTTGTATTTTTAGTAGAGAGAGGGTTTCACCATGTTGGCCAGGCTAGTCTGGAACTCCAGACCTCAGGTGATCCACCCTCCTTAGCCTCCTAAAGTGCTGGGATTACAGGCGTGAGCCACCGCTCCTGGCCACACCATTCCTTTCTAACCATGAGTCTGCCTTTGCGAATGCTGGCTCTGTTCCCCACAAGCAGATTCTACTCATGCACAACTATATATACTTAAATTGTAGGAAACTGTCACTTAAACAAGGGCAACATTACAATTACACTTAGAAAAATCTCAGAATTTCTATAGGACACTTTTAAACTCAGGGAATGTGAAATCCATTACTCAAGACCACTAACTAGCGGCCGGGCGCGGTGGCTCACTTGAGGTCAGCAGTTCCAAGACCAGCCTGGCCAACATGGTGAAACCCCGTCTCTACTAAAAATATGAAAAATTAGCCAGGCCACAGTGGTGCACGCCTGCAATCCCAGCTACTCGGGAAGCTGATGTAGGAGAATCGCTCGAACCCGGGAAGCGGAGGTTGCAGTGAGCCGAGATCGTGCCACTGCTCTCCAGCCTGGGCGACAGAGCGAGACTCCGTCTCAAAACAAAAACAAAAAAACCACTAACTAGCTCTCTTATCTTGAATGAGTTTTTTCTGAGCCTCTATTTATTCATTTGTTCAAATAGCTACCATTGAACTCTGTGTTTTAATATCTGGCAAACGGTAAAAGCGAGCTTTTCAAAATGTCGCCCGCTGCCCGGATAAAAAACCCTGAACAGGCCGGGTGCGGTGGCTCACGCCTGTAATTCCAGCATTTTGGGAGGCCGAGGCGGGCGGACCACCTGAGGTCGGGAATTCGAGACCAGCCTGACCAACACGGAGAAAACCCGTCTCTACTAACTATACCAAATTAGCCGGGCGTGGTGGCACATGCCTATAATCTCAGCTACTCGGGAGGGTGAGGCAGGAGAATCGCTTGAACCCAGGAGGTGGAGGTTGAGGTGAACCGAGATTGCGCCATCGCACTCCAGCCTGGGCAACAAGAGCTAAATTCCGTCTCTAAAAAAAAAAAAAAAAGGGGGGGGGGGCCTTGAACTGCCCAGAAAGTGAGGACAACTCCCGGCCGGCTTCCCTGGGGTGGCGTCCGCACATCTTTGCCCAGGGCCAGATTAAGGCCTCTAAAAGTCTACCCTCAACTTCGAAAACATTACATTGCCCCATAAAATTTACACTATTTCATAAAAGAAAATATTTTCCACTCGACACGAATTTCCACGTGCGTCAAAATATAGCTTCTATTTTCATTTATCTTGGTGCACGTGCAGTCTACCTACGACGGGAAGACCCGGCCAGATCCCAAACACTTCGGCTCCCCTCCCCGCCCCGCCCGCACTCCGCCCAATCAAGCCCCGCGGTCCGCACAGCGACCGCCCCCCACCCCCGACCCTGAGCTCTCAGGTCGCGGCCCAACCCCTTGGCGGCCCCTCACCCTGGCGGAGGGCCCACCGTCCCCACGGCGTCTGGGCGACTGCGGCTCTTAACTACCCAAAAGTGTCTACCCTGAAGACTACTGGAGCCCCAACTCACTACATCCGCGCTGGCCGAGGAACCTCCTTTCGCACCCCAAGCCACCTGGCTCGCGGCGTTCTGCCTCCCGCAAGCATTCCTCCTTCCCGCCACCCTGCCCCCACTCCGCACACCAAACCGGCTCGGCGCCTTCCCCTTCCCGCCCCACCCCCACTTCTCCCACCTCCCGGGACCCCTCCCCACCGCGAGCTGCGCGCCTCGTCCCTTCCTTCTCCCAGCCCCCCACCTGGCGGGACGCGTTTCCTCCCTCCAAAGCTCCCGAACTCTCCGCGTCTCCTCTCCAGCCCTCTTCCTGCACAGCCTCTCTCCTCTAACCCTGTTTACAAGCTACACCACGAAATGCTCCAGACTCAGTCCCTGCACTCCTTTAAGCCACCTCTGGGGCCCTGCCTCCGAGCCCAGAGCCAGGCCGTGCCCCCCCACAAGCCCCTTTGCGAGCCTCCCCTCCCCGGGTTCCGAGCAACCCGCCGCTATGCCCCCGCCTTCGACCCCTCCCGGTACCTGGTGGGGGCCGCAGTCGCTGCGGATCTCCGCAGACCTCCGTTGAGGTTCTTCGCCTTGGGCGGTGACGCGGAGCGCGCCAGGGGCCTGGGCCCAGGCCCAGCCTCGCTCCAGGCCGCATCCTCTCGTGGAGAGGCCCGGGTGGCAGCGGCGGCGCGGCCGCCTTCCCGTGAGGCCCTGGCCGAGGCCTTGCTGGCATCACTCAGCGCCGGAGACTTGGGGAAAAAGCTGTACAGGGTGCTCTGTCGCGACATAGCGACGGCCAGTGAGGCCCAACCGTTCTGTCGGACAGGGCGCCCAAACGCACCGCATCTACCGCGCGCCTTCTCCTGGCGGGAAACCTGGGGGGGAAGGCGCGCTCCGCTGGAGGTACCCGGGCCCCAGTGGCCAATCGACAGACGCCTCGCCGTGCGGGGGCGGCACGCGCCAAGCCCCGCCCCCGGGCGCGCGGCGACGCAAGGAGGGGTGGGGCCGGCACGCCGACCAGGGAGCGACCCGCGCTGAGCCCCTCTTTTCTCAGGCCGCTGGCCGGTCTGGGCCGGAACATTTCGACCCGATGATGGTTGCAGCTGCGGGGCTAGCGGGCTCGGAAAGCCCTTCCTCTCTGGAGCGGAAGCGGGGAAGCTGGGGCGCGCAACCGCTGAGCTGGGGTAGCCGGGGTGACCCGACGGGCCACGGAAAGGGGCCCGCGGGGAGAAACGCGCCGGCGCTCGCGTGACCTCCTGCCGTTAGAGCACTTTCGCAGGAGCCGGAGCGAAAGGGACCAAAGTTTAGTTAGCAGTTCACCTTCACGTTGTAGTCTCAAGATTCGTACCGAGCAGGCACTTGGTAAATGCTAAATGAATAGCGTAATAGCATTCGTTAGCGATGCCCTTTACTTGTGTATGGTAAAAACCTGCAGCTGTGCAAAGCCTTCCTTTGCCAAGCACTGATCCCAGCATTTTACATCTGGTAACTAAATCTATCGTCTCAATAACTGAGGTAGGTACTTAAGGGCCACAGTCCGTTATCTGAGCCCTTTGACCCAGGTGTGTCTTTGCAGGATTTTTTTCAAATTTTAGAAAGCTAAGAGGCTATGAGAATAAAAAGCTTCTATTCAAATTCAAGAAACAAAGTGGCAGACAGACAATTCTTTGTCCCATTATCCCAAACTAAGTAAATATGAAATCCAGAATGCCAGAAACCAGCCCCAATCAGCAACAGCTGTGCATTGGTAAAAAACTATGTAAGTTCTTTGCCTTGTTCGTGGAGACCGTTCTGCCAGAAGGTTCTCCGTTGCTTGGCTAGTAATAAAATCAACCTAAAAAAAATATTGCCAAAGGTGATATGTGCTAACAAATAAAATACATACCGTATTCTCTTCACAAATTTGCATTTCATCCCTGTGCAGGGGTCATTCCAGTTTGGTATAAGTGCTGCCCAAGCAAGCACAATTAAACCAACTGTTTCAGATAATATTTGGTCTCTTTCCCCACCGGCATAATATGTGACACCCCCAGAGAGTCTGGGGGAACACGCTGAAATCAAACATGCAGTAAAACTGCTTATTCATACTAAGTAAAATGAATACAGACTTTGGACTATAAATAGTCTCAGGTCAAAATTTGCTACCAAATGAATTTACCCCCAAAATTTTGGTTTTCACAGCTTTTTGGATTTCAGAATTGCACATAAGAGGTTGTTAATCTATCCTGTTTCTCCATATAATGGATGAAGCTGAGGCACAGATGGGTCAAGTAACTTGCCCTGACTGCATAGCTAGAAAGTGGTGGCGTCTGGGTTTAACTCAAGGAAGCTGGTTCTGGAGTCCTATGTTGTTAACAGAAATACTATAATGCTTCCAATTTATCACCATTTTGTCTTATTTAGTTCTCACAACAACCTTATACTAGTTTGGGCCGAGCGTGGTGGCTCACGCCTGTAATCCAAGCACTTTGGAGACCAAGGTGGGCGGATCACTTGAAGTCAGGAGTTCAAGACCAGCCTGACCAACATGGTGAAACCCCGTCTTTATATTTAAAAAAAAAAAAAACCCCAAAAAAACCTTATACTAGTTTGAACTATATGAAATTCCCAAAATTTGACCTTTTATTTATTTTCATTTATTTATTTATTTGAGATATGGTCTTGCTCTGTCACAGAAGCTGGAGTGCAGTAGCATAATCTGTGCTCACTGTAGCCTCAACCTCCCAGGCTCAAGCAATCCTCCCACCTCAACCTCCTGAATACCGGGGACCACAGGTCTGCAACACCATGCCTATTTTTTTTTTTTCTGTTTTGAGGAGTCTCACTCTGTCACCCAGCGTGGAGTACAGTGACACGGTCTTGGTTTACTGCGATCTCCACCTTGTGGGTTCAAGCAATTCTCCTGCGTCAGCCTCCCTAGTAGCTGGGATTACAAGGCCCCACCATCATGCCCAGCTAATTTTTGTATTTTTAGAAGAGATGGGGTATCACCATGTTGGCAAGGCTGGTCTCGAACTCCTGACCTCAAGTGATCCACCTGCCTCAGCCTCCCAAAGTGCTGGAATTACAGGTGTGAGCCACTGTGCCCGGTGCTCTGCTAATTTTTTAAAAATTTTGTGTAGAGACAAAGTTTCACTATATTTCTTAAGCTGGACCTTTTTTGGGGGGTACAGGGTCTCACTCTGTCTCCCAGACTTGAGTGCAGTGGTGCAGTCTCGACTCACAACAACCTTTGCCTCCCAGGCTCAACCAATTCTCCTTTCTCAGCCTCATGAATAGCCGAGATTACAGGTGTGCACCACTACTACCCAGCTAATTTTTGTATCTCTAATAGAGACAGGATTTCACCATGTTGGCCAGGCTGGTCTCAAACTCCTGACCTCAAATGATCCACCTGCCTCAGCCTCTCAGAGTGCTGGGATTACAAGTGTGAGCCACTGCACCCAGCAATGATGGACCTTTTTGAAGTACAAATATTAATATTTAATTCCTTTAATTCAAGTAATGTTATTCTTTTTTTTTTTTTTTGAGATGGAGTTTTGCTCTTGTTACCCAGGTTGGAGTGCAGTGGCTTGATCTTGGCTCACCACAACCTCCGCCTCCCGGGTTCAAGCAATTCTCCTGCCTCAGCCTCCCCAGTAGCTGGGGCTACAGGCATGCGCCACAACGCCCAGCTAATTTTTTTTGTATTTTTGGTAGAGACAGGGTTTCACCATGTTGACTAAGATGGTCTCGATCTCTTGATCTCATGATCCACCTGCCTCGGCCTCCCAAAGTGCTGGTATTATAGGCATGAGCCACCGTGCCCGGCCCCTTTTTTTTTTTTTTTTTTTTAGATGAAGTCTCAATCTGTCACCCAAGCTGGAGTGCAATGGCTCCACCTCCCAGGTTAAAGCACTTCTTCTGTCTCTCAGTCTCCTGAGTAGCTGTGATTACAGGCATGTGCCTCCACACCTGGCTAATTTTTGTATTTTTAGTACAGAACAGGGTTTCTCCATGTTGGTCAGGCTGGTTTCAAACTCCCAGCCTCAAGTGATCTGCCCACCTCAGCCTCCCAAAGTGATAAGATTACAGGCATGAGCCACCTTGCCTGGCCTTGACTTTATTCTTTTACAGGAAGGAAATGGAGGTTCAGAGGGGATGCGCCAGTTCTAAGAGGTTAAGAGCCTGTGCTTTGCGTTTGATGGAGACCTGAGCTTTGATCCTAGCTGGCCAAGCAGATAACTTGGAGCAATTCTGTTAATACTTCTCTGAACTTGTTTCCTGGTCTTTAGTGAGTACAACAGTGCCTGTGCGCCAAACTTTGGAGGCTGCAGTTTGATGCCTCCCACAAGGTTCACTAAGAGAGGAGAAGACACATATATTATGTGAGGACCACTCAGACCCCCAGAATTGGCATGAATGTTACTTGGAACTGAAGACATTTGAGAGCCAATAGATGCAAAAAGATGCCTTTTCAAAGTTTCCCATATGTGACTAACAGCAGCAATTTCTGGGAGTGAAGCTGCCATAAATCTTCTCTCAAGGGGAGTTTTAGTGGCCAGAAAAAAAGACGGCTTGCACCTGCAAAAACAAACATTCTTATCTCCCATTTGTTCCCCTAGAAACCTATTTGCTCTTCCCATAGAAGCCTTTTTGTAAAAACAAACATTCTTAGCTCCCATTTGTTTCCCTAGAGACCTATTTGTTCTCACAGACGCCCTCCTCTTCTCCTATTAAATGGTATATATAAAGTAGATTTAGATTTTCAACAACAAAAAAAAGTTGTATAAATGGCAATTAATAGCCTCCTAGAGTAACATTTTTTTCCTGTGAACTCCTGCATGCATATCTGAATAAAAGTCTGTCTTTGTTTGTTTGAGACGGTGTCTCACTCTGTTGCCCAGGCTGATCCTCCCGTCTCAGCCTCCCAAGCAGCTAAGACTGCAGGTGTGCATCCTCACACCCTGATAATTTTATTTTCTACAGAGAGTGGGTCTTGCTGTGTTGCCCATGCTGGTCTCCAACTCTTGGGCTCAAGCCCTTCTCTCTACTTGGCCTCTCAAAGTGCTAGGATTACAGGTGTGAGCCACTGTGCCTGGCTCTAATCTATCTTTAATCTGCAGTGCCCAACCAAACACATACATTCCATGACTATATATATTTTGAAAATGGAATAAAAATATTTTTCTTTTACATGTATTATTTCTTTCACATGGCTACTAAATTACACTTAGTAAATTGTGTAACAATCCATGATGTTGTTTTGGCCTAGGAGATGTGGTGGAAAAGTGCTAAGGTGGTAAATATACTAGGTATTTGGGAACCTCTGGCCTAGTGGTTAAGAGCTCTGTATTCAAAGTTTGTGTTCACGTCCCAGCTGAGCTGCTTACTAAGCTACATGAACTTGTTGGGCAAGTTATGTAGCCTGTGCCTCACTTTCTAAATCTGTTACATAGGGATGATATTAACACTACTCCTTCATGGGATTAAGTGAAAGGGCATTATGAAGCCTTGAGCCCAGTGCCTGGTACACCATAAACATTCAATAAATTGGACAGTTATACAAAGAAATCACCAACGGGCCAGGTACAATGGCTCACACTTATAATCCCAACACTTTGGGAGATCACTTGAGGCCAGGAGTTTAAGACCAGCCTAGGTAACATAGTGAGATTCCCACCTTCTCTACAAAAAAATTAAAAAAAAAAATTAGCCAGGAGTGGTGACACGTGCCTGTAGTCCCAGCTACTCTCCACTTGGGAGGCTCAAAGCAGGAAGATTGCTTGTTCCCAGGAGCTTGAAGTTGTAGTGAGCTATGGTCAGACCACTGCACTTCTACCTTGAGACCCTGTCTCAACACACACACACACACACACACACACACACACACACACGTGCGCGCGCGCGCGCGCACGCACCAGGAGAAAAAAGA